AAATTAACACTTTTACCAAAAAAACCATTGAAAAAAAGGTGAAAAATCGAACTTTTTTTTTCTAAGGTGTGCCAATTTACGATTTTGTGACTTTTTTAATTTTTTTTTGGTTTAACTAGAAGATATATGTTTTATGAACACGTACAAACTAATTTTTTTAAATTCAGATCACCGTACGAAAAGTGAGAACGCCCGCAAATTGATGGCGTTTTCCGAGAGGGTCTTGGCAGATTTATTTTTACGGCAGCCATTTAAAAAAAAAAAATAAAAAAATAATTTTTTTCGTGTATTTTAATATATAATAAATGACCCTAAAAAAGTTCAAAAAGATTCAATCATTCCTTCCCAGTTTAAAAAGTCCTCAAAAAATGGTAAAAATTAAGGCGATTACATGTATCGCCCCCCTTAACACATTTTTTATATATTTTCCTTTCCAAGCTTCTGCTTACATGCTTTTTGGTCCTGAGCTTTGGCTCTCAGTTCCCTGTACTTTCTCTTCTCGCGTAAATCATCAATCATCTGCATTCTTCTTCTTCCCATTACTTTCCGTCCTTCTATTTCACCTACGACTACGCAGTGCAGGAGCACTCTTTTTGCAGAACAGGTCCAAACTAGTTTTCTTTTTATTTCAGGATCATGCTCAGTAGAGTCTTTTCTTGATCCATCTTTCTCAGGAGTCCTTTTTTCGCCACTCCTTTATTTATCGTCTTTTCTCATTTCTTTTGATCCTTTTATTTTACCTTCGACTACGTCGTGTTGAAAGCATTCTTTTTGAAAAAAGGAACCAAGCCAGTTTGCTTTTCTTTTCAGGATAGTGCTCAGTAGAGTCCATTCTTGGTCCACCTTTCTCAGGAGTCCTTTTTTCGTGCACTCTTTTCAGAGGTCCTTTCTTCGCCACTTTTTCACATTTCAAAGAAAAACAACCTGGTAGAACTAATTGAATGCCACTAATTTCTAGATGTAACCAACAAGATGATTAGGATGGGAAAGTCCTTTCCATTGGGCCTTTTTGGAATAGCTTATTGTATTTAATTCAATAGCAATTCCGAAGATTTGGAAATTTGGGTACATTAAGAAAACTGAGGTTATGTTGCTTGAAGTCTGGAACGTTCCTTTTGCTCGGAATATGAAAGCTGAAGAAGAAAAACACTCCAAACACAATAAGAAACACTAGTTAAAATTAATTAAATGATTTATTCACAAGGAAAGTAGATAACACTCGATAGTAATATAGCACGAATCACAAAACTCACAAAAGAACCAGAATCACACCGAAAAAATAAGTGAACACAATAAACATGTTGAATGATTAAAGCTTACAGCCAACCATAGATAAAAGAAAGGAATGCAGCCAACAAATATTTTCGGAATTGCCAGAGATTTAGTGTTGCCTGAATATGAAAAATATATTTTCATATTGAATTGCCTGAATATGAAAAATATATTTCGTGCCATCTAGCTCCGTTGTGGCGCAAACAATAATTTTCATTAATTGATGATGATTGGCTTAAAATTTGTTAGAAAATACGTTACATTTAATATTAGTCATCATCACGTCATAGTTCATTTATGTTATTATTTTTGTATTATTGTTTTTATTTTATTTTTATCTTAACTTTTTTCATTTTATATTCTATTTATTGTATTTTTTATATTTTTCCTTTTTTGCACATATCAATTTTGGAAATAAGACATTAAAGTCTTGATTAACAAAAATAAATTATAACTAATAATAATATTAGTAGCATCAAGACAAGCAATAAAATACCAAAAATAGCAATAAGGTAGAGACTAGAAAACGATTTCTTGTAAAATCTTCTACAGCCCAATGTTTTATTAAAAAAACCTATTAATTTAAAAATTTGCTTAAAAAAAACGTATAGTACTACATAAAATATTATTAATACTTATATTAAAAGTGTGCATGGTAAAAACATCAATTTCATGCCCTATATAGAATTGTACTAGTTACATTGAAATTTTGTTAGAAGACGTACAAACAAAAAATAATATGCTGAAATAGCAAGGTGGTAGTAGAAAAGGTACGTTTAGTAGGTTTAGTTTTTAAGTAGCCTAAATTAATCCAAAATCCAGTAAGGAGCAACTATAAAGAGGTCTTTTGAAATCTTTTGTAATATGAATTAGTATGGAAACACATGAATAGTTAGTATTACTGGATTAAGCACTTTCAAGAATATTACTTGAAAATCATTAAAATTTTTAAAAAAAAAAAAGTGCATATTTTTAGGTCCAGAAGAGCTCCTGTAAGACAAGCTATAAAAATATACTAATAAGGTAGAGAGACTAGCAAACTGAAACTAACTAACTAAAATTTTTTATAGCCCAATATTTTGTTAGAAAACTTATAAAACTAAAACTTTGTTATCATAATAGATACTATTGACTCTGTCATATAAGAATTTGAGGGTTGTTGTTCTAATAGTGTGTCCTGTAAAGCTCTTTTAATATTACTAATTTCTAGACGTATTTATAATCATGTTTAAATGTGATATAGTTCAAAATTTTGTTAGAAAATGTAATAATTTTAGTATTGATTATTGTAATAGACACATATTGTATAGGAATATTATGTTAGAATTTCTAATTTGTAGTACAAATAGTTTGTCCTGGAGAGATCTTTGAATATAAGCAACAAACTTATGAAATTAGAAAAATTGTTTACGGCGTAAAATTCTACTAGAAGACCCATTATTTTTGGTATTGGTTGTTATAATAGACACTTTGAGGAATAATATATTAAAATTACAGAGCTTTAGTACAAACAGTGTGTCCTGGGAAGCTCATTGAATATAAGCATTAAAAAGTTAAAAAAATTCAGTGCAGTACGAGTTTTCCCAAAATCGTTTGCTGTGCAAAATTCTACAATCCCTTTAATTTTAGTATTTGTTATTATAAAGAATTGTTAGCAGATATTGTATTAAAAATATGTACAAGGTTTTAGAATAAATAATGCGTTCTTAGTAATTCTTTAAAAAGTTTGAAGTGCATAAAATAATGTCGAGCGCAAATTTTTATGAAATCTTTCGTTACATAAATTTTTGTGAGAAAAGTCATCAATTTTAGTATTTGTCATCATAGTAGATATATTGAAGAATAACATATTAAAAGCGCAATGCACAAACGGTACGTTCATAAGTCCTCGCCAACCCTGCATTTGGCATTTAATAGATTTATATTATATATATATATATATATATATATATAATATATATATTATATATATATTATATATATAGATTATATTAATTTTATGACTATAAAGAAGTAAATGAAGATTTACATAAATATATTATCTCATCATATGAAACTCTATCTATTCCTCATTTGCAAATCCATCGACAATTGCAAATTTATCGACCAAAACACTAATTGGATATTCAGTTCTCACAGCAACTAACATCGAATGATGATTGGAAACCATTAGTAGATATTAGAAATGGTTTTGGACACGTAAATTATATCCAGAACTATCAAGAATAACATTTTAATGAATATTATGAAGATATTTATTAATAGAAACATACCAAGATAAAGAACATTTAGGAACCCATCATGATACACGACATAATTCATAGATACACGACATAATTCTTGTCATTTTCTATTTTCATTTATGGTATCACCGAGATTATTTAATTTTAGACAAATTTTCCAGAAACACCATTAATATGCATGTTATATTTTAAAAAGTGTTAGCTTACAAAATACATAGTAATTTTCATTTTATTTAAGAAAAATCTTAAATACAACCAAATTTATTATATGAAGTTTATTCACTAATTCGCCTAGTTTATTCAGAAAAATTCAATCAAGTTGCTAAACAAACGATCAAAATTAGATGATGTTATAAATTATTTAGTTTTATATAAATTTGTCATTTATCTCATTTCCATTAGACCGACGGTTTAAAAGTTACCAGACACATAATAAGTAAATGTCTAATTAGGTTAATAAAACTTCATCCGATATTTTTTGTGAAATATTACACAAGTTCCATTGGCAATTTAAGTTTATTTTATTCCTCGTATTTATCTAAAGCATCATCAGGATCAATTAATCTAATTCAGCTTATTTTCTGAAACTTGTCTACTTAATCTTGATCAGAAACTTTAAGTTTCATAATCTATCAAGAGGCTTTCTTGCGATAATTCACTTACTAAAAGCTTTTCTCGATTCTGCACGATGGCGTAACTTTTACGTAACGAAACGTAACAGAATGTAACTTTAGGAAAATTCACACACACATGAATATAAATTTACACAAATTATATAAATAAATAAAATATATATTAATTATTTATATATTTGGCTCGACATAAAGCATAACTCTGAATTGATTTTTGCATGTAGATATTAATCTTTCAGAAGTTTGTTTTCGCTAAAAAATCCGATTTGCTAATTTGATGTTTTTTCGACGTTTGAAGTCATTCTCAATCGAAACTAAATTTGGAAAAAGTATGTGTGTGTATGTATGTGAGCCAATGTTTGACCTTTTTTGACGTTTTCAAAAACGACTGGACTCGATTTATTATAGTGTGACTTCTAAACTGTACGTCCACTTTAAATAAAACTTTTGTCAAAATTTAATAATCTAAAATATTATAGAATATTACTAACTCGTACTGCCTTAAAATTGCAGTCAGAACTATATAATCAATTTGTGTGCAGTTGGTTGAGAGCATCGAATTTCCAACGATTTTATCACAGATGGAATTCTAAACGTATTAGTTTGTTAGATACGATTAATTTACTCGAAGTTCTGCAAGTCCAATCGTGTGATACAATATTGAAAATAATATCGAATCTATATATAAACTGGAAAGATTATTCGGCATCTACAAAATTGCTTTTACTAATCCAATAATCCAAAGAATTTCGATTAATGAGTATGGGCGTCTTGTCATTCAGAATCGTCTCCAACCTGGTATTTAAACAATTTACACGCATTTTAAAATTAAAAATAAATTACAAATTCTTACCTCCTGGCCAAGATATCATTGAAAGTCTATGAAATTGACCCTTTTCTAGAAGGCATTTTTCCTCAAACCTAGAAAATATAAAAAAAAATATTAATGTTGTGTTCACAAGAATCTGGACTCCAGATTCTAATAATTATTCTATTTATTATTATTTAATACTCCAGACTCTGGAGTCTGGGATCTGGACTATTTCATTTATACAAAATATTGTTGAAAAATTAACTGTTGGGCATAAAGAAGTTAAATAATTTATCTCTCAGTATGTTTTACAAGCTTATACATTTTGTTTAAATTTAAGTGGTACTTCATATTCAAAAGGCAACAAAACAGAGCTATTGCAAGTGCATTTCATATAAGAAGACCCGTCTAAATAATAAATATCATTTTCGACTTAACGAATTCTGTTTATGAAAATATTTTGTTAAAAACTAGATTTATATGTCAAACATTTATGTATATGAATATAAATTTCACATTGAAAAAATCGTAAAAACGTTTATTTAAATTTAATGATATTAAATTGATTAATTTAATATTAAGTAATAACAAAGTTATTGCTCATTTGCAACAGACTTTATATTCACCGACTGTATCTACTTTCATAAGATAACGTTGTTAGCAACAAAATCATACATGATGGCCTCAAAATCCCTTTTGTAGACGATGTCATCAAAAATACCAGTACTAGACATCATGCTAAATTTTACAATCATCTTATTGCAACAATGGCTCATCTGACTACACAAAAAACTGGCTATATAGTTAATGTAAAAAATTGTTTTTAATAGTCAATTGGAGCAATTTATTTATTATTTATTTATTTTTTTATTTGTAATTTATTTTTATTTAGGTTTATTCATTCATTTAAAATTATTTTTCCTTTTTTCTTTATTTTTCTCCGTGATTATTTTTTATGTATAATTTAGCCCTATATCTTATAGAGTCCTATCAATAACTCTATTATATAATAATGAATGAATAAAAAAAAAAAAAAATAAGATACCATATATGTTACTTATACCGATACACCTGATCATTCCATTAATATGAATTATGTGTTCGTGATATATTTACACAATCAAATAATATACAATATCTTAATGTCTCCATAACAAAATAACAATTTCCAAAATGCCTACGGCTGTTATTGGATACTATATTTGCTTATGCAAATTCCGTGTCAATCTCTCTCGGAAACGGTGGTTAGTTTGCTATTAATTTTGCTAGCTCTAAATATATATATATATATATATATATATATATATATATATACGAGCATACACATATGCAGATATGAATGTCAGTTATATATAACTTTAATTGATCGCAGCAAGTCCTCCTGCAGCAAGCAAAGGGCTTCTCTAGTTATTGCATTGGCTTCTCTGAAATGCCCACATTTCATATGAAATTCATTGCATTTCAGGAAATTCATGCAAAGATAAATAATTGAGATGAAGTTAAAAGGATCAAATTTGAAGGATCTGACATAAAAATAATATTAATAAATATAGATCATGACAAGGATTGAATTAAACATGGTGGATAATTACTTTAAAGTACCAGACATATCAAAATATTTTTTATATAACAGACATTTTAAACTTATTAAAAATTTGTAGTATATTATCAATTTTAGTATATGTTGTTATAACAGACACATCGCCATATATAAAAAATTATAAGGATTAGTACAGACAGTGCAACCAATAAATTTTAAGATCTTCTGAAATAACCTTGCGGAACACCATATTATAAATAATCGTGCACTGGTAATATTTTTGTTGTATATAAAAGTAATATACATTTGAAATTGAAATATTTTTCTCCTTAATGTTGAGAAATATTCATTTTTCAAACTTTCTTATCAAGTTCGTAAAGTTTACATATATATATATATATATATATATATATATATATATATATATATATAAGTATATAATATTGTAGAGTTCAAAACATCGAAGTTTGTTGCCAAAAGTTTGCAGACTGTTTGGCAAATAAACGTAGAAGAAAATAAAGATATCGGGAACAGAATAAATACAATCTTGTAACATCGATATGAAACTACCAGTGCTTGTCAAACTTTAAAACAAACAATCGATTGGAAATATATCTTTAGCTATAATAAAATCGTAACATTAAAATATGAGCAGTTTCAATTCTGCAGTACAATAGACGACAACATAGCGTTATCATGGCAATGCTTGTTTCTTGGTACTAAAAACTGTAAAAAATCTATCTAATTGCTGTGCTATTTATTTACACTTTTTATATTTTTGACCTTATCAACTACCACTCAACCTTTCGATCAATTTTGGTCTAAATACATACAAATCTTAATAAATACCCAACACCCACCTTGAATATACTTTTACCCATTGATTTCTAATTACCTCGGGTAATTTTCCTCAAAAGCGCCGCGTGTCGTGACAGAAAAAGGGTGACCTGTTTTCAGTCACATGAGCCCTTTTGGCACCCTCTGACACCCTTATCATAGTGTTAATGAAACCGCATATTATCAATCAATGTCAGAGGCGCCCCCTTGAGCTAGGGGGGCCATGCCCCGGTGCTAACTTGTCTTCTTCATATGACGACTACTGGCTGGGTAAGAAGATGGATCAGGGTTGAGGAAATATTATTTTATTTGTTCATTTAATATAATTTTTATATAACACCATTATAGCAAAAACGTAAAAAGTTGAAAATCTACCTTTCAAGTATGATGATGAAAAACTAGTTGGAAGAAGCATTTTACCTTAAGGCAAGTTGCATGAACTTTCCGATACATGAACATAATAAACTTAATCGATGAGAATTAATATTCAATTATTTAGATAAAATTTTCAACTGTTTATTTTGAATATAACTTTTTAGTTTTTATTAAAAAATAATCAATACGATTTTCAATTGATGGCCCTTCAAACATACTTATAATAGTCATAATATCTGTAATTGTATACATTGAATTAATTTGTTCAACACGTTCCATGTTATCCATTTCGTGTTCTAAAAATGTGTACTATTTAAGTGTGAACGTCAACTGTAATCAGTAGCTAAATACCAAACACCAAAAAACCAGCATATATTTTAGCACAAATTCTGATTAGAATTGCTCAAACTCGAGGCGAAATTCTTAACTTTGGCGAATTTTTATAATTCAATCGTTAATCGTAGACCTAGTTATATTTTGGTATGATATTTCAGAATACAAAACTCATCGTCATACAAAATAGTCAAAAAAAAATTCCAACAATTATTTCCAAAGAAACGGCCGGGCCGATCTTCAATAAAATAATCAAAATGATTCCCAATCTATATCTTTTATTGATTTTTAAAATCGATTCAAAATTCTGGACTAAATTTTCTTGATTTATTCTCTATTTTATTTACAACTGTCCAGAAAGGACACTTAGTAAATTTGGGGAGTTTTTGGACTAAAATATGAACATTTTTTTGCACTTATCTTCTAATTACAGAGTCTCGCTTTGGATAACCTGATATTATGCAGTAATGATATCAATTTTCACTCAAAAATTTAGATCAAAAATATGTTCATTTCGGGCACTGCTGTGTGAAATGGCCATAGGAACTTTTTCACACTATTCTTTCCTAAATTACAAGAAAACGGCTCGGCCGATCATAGTGCACGACTGATAGATACTACTCCTTTTTACCCAGTGTACATTTTACCAACCCCAAATTTTTGGGTATTGTATTTGAACGCCCCAAGTATAATAAAGCATATACTTGCTTGCATATGCTTGTTTGTGTAAGAGTTTACATGCACCCGATCTATTTATCTTAAGTGGTTTCGTCAGAATGTCTAAGATGGATTTATATCTCACAGTATCTTACACTGAGACAATAAATATATGCATTGAATTTTGGTAAAGAGGCACAGATTGGACTGAAATACATAAATCATCCGTTTAGGAGATGGTTAAAAATAACCCCGAAATATTTTTCATGGTCCATTGGCATTTATGAATATAACGTGTTGTCTTAGACTCATGTGGGGCAGAGTGGTGAGTTCGAAACTGATCTGGATTACCTGATATCATGCGGTAGTGATATCAAAAATATAGATCAAAAATATGTATCCAATTCAAAATAGTTCATTTCGGGCATTGCGGTGCGTAAAGGCAATTGGAAATCTTGCACTCCCTAAATGGAGTTGGAGTTTAAATGAGCTCACGGAAACGTCCATTATACTTGCTAAATATTATATCAAAATCTAACGAATAGTTTAGAAGTTATAAATGATATAATCGAAAATGCAAGAAATTAAAAAGTTGTTAACTCAAATTGTTAATACTCGGGCATACTCATTGGCAATATTTGGTTACCATTTTGAAGAAGTTCTTATAAGTTCTTGTAAATTTGTTTGGAAAGTTTGAAAATCTATGTGTTAGATAATAATGTAGACTATTAAATTTTATGCACATTTGTCAAATGTTCTAATCTCTTTACACAAATGCGTTAAAATTTACTTCATCTAAAACAAATATAAACGTACGTCCAATTACAAGTGTAAAATTTTCCTGCAGCTATTTTTCTACCGATGTATCGACTAAAAAAGTAACGAATACGAAAGATCAACAAAGCATGCTCAGAATTCCGAATGATAACTAAAAGTTTCTTCGATTCTTCAATTCTTCTCGATGTGAAGTTCATGAATTAACTCGAGACCATATATTGACTTCTTTTTAATGGTCGAATGAACCTGGATGACTTTATTGGATACGTGTAAGAGAGGATGTGGAATTTTATTCCACATGGAGCACAATAAAATTCAGGAGATACTTCGAGGAAAATTTGATGATAAATAAAATAAAATCACGTAGTTGTAAGACATACCTAACATGCACTTTAGTCATAAAATTAGTAATATCATAAAATATTTTTTTAATAATATTTATTTGATTTGATTCGTTATATCATAATCTAATAAAATCAGAACTTTAATTGGAATGTTTTGCATTAAAGCTTATATATTCAAATATATTATAATAAAATTGAAAATTTGTATTTCGAATGGTACTATGTAACAAATATTAGCACAATCGTA